AACGGCTTTACTATTTAAACATCTGGCTATCAGGCTTGCTACCTGCCATTACTACCTACACGGTATGGTAATTGTCTGGATCACTTTATGCTGAGATAGACAAAAATAAAATTCCAAATATAAATTAATAAATATTCTTATATCACTCACCATATTTTAAGGTTCAATATACCAAAGTCAGTGCTTCCATAAAAAAAACTTATGATTAGATAAGGATACTACTCTAAGAGATAAATTGTGGTGACTTAACTTATTAAACAACCCAAATGATTATAGAGCTCTATAATAAAATAAAAAACTAGATTTATAAGTATAAGATCATTACATCAAATATCGTGTAGTTAACCATGATACTTTGGCATTCTACATGTGTCAAAATAATAACATGCAAAAAACAAATTAGACCTATAATGAAATTTTAAAAATAATACCGTAGATATCAAATTATTTATAAATTAATCAAAACTAAAAGAATTATAATAAACAAATAATTCTAAATAAAAACAACTCAAAAAAATTATGGCAAATTCAACAATATTACAAATGAATAAAAATAAAAGAAATACGAACTCTCCATTAAAGAAAAGACAAGAGTCTATAGATCATTTAATCAATATTTTACCAAGTTGCAAATCACTACAGAAGGTATCCTTGCAAACAACCATACAATTGTTCTGACAAAACTACTTCAATTATCCTCACTTAACTTCATTTGTATTAAGAGATACTGAAATGATGAGGTTCTTAATGTCTATGGGGTTAAAATCAAATAGTTCAGCTGATGGATTCCTACCAATTCTTAAATAACTGCTGATATAATTGTCCCTATTATTGTTCATTTGATCAATCTATGCTTTGCTCTAGGTGTCTTTCCAGATGCACTGAAAATGCTGTAGTTACCCCATTACAAAGGAGATATAAAAGGATATAAGCAATTACAGGCTATTTCTGTTTTACCACCTATCAAAATACTGGAGAAAATAATTAATAAACGTTTAATGAATACCTTAATACATTTAATATCTCTCCCCAAGTCAATATGGTTTAGACAGGATTTATCGACAGAAGATGCCTGTTGATCTCAATCTTATTACTAATCTGTGGATAAAAACAAAAATGTGCTCAGTGTTTTGGATATGAAAAAGATTTGACTCAGTTAATTACAGACCTTATCACAAGTTGGAGAAAATAGCATAAGAGGAATTCCTTGAAATTATTCAAAGACTATTTATCAATAAAAAGAGTGTAAAAATAGGAAAACACCAAAGTGAACAATTGAAATCACTTCGAGTTCCCAAGGAATTATTGGGGCCCACTCTATTCCTTGTTATATTATAATTTATTAAATGGATATAGAAGAGGGAAAATGTTCACTTATCTGACGACACTGCTGTCGTTTTTTAGCTACACTGGAGCTTTAAAAATAATTCCAAAAGGGCCTCAAGAATAGTAAGTGGCTCACATAACCTTTTATCAATACTCTAAAACTAATATTATGCTTCTCCAATTATAATCCTCTCAACACCTCCACGTTTGCTATTCAAATACATACTTGTGGCTCACTCATTCTATAATATCTCATCGATTTTATTAAGCGGCAAAACTGTAAGATACCTGTATATTAAACCCTATCATGGCGCGATATATAGACTAGTTATGGCTAGAGTAAGAAAATATATGGTTATTTAAAAATCTAAGAACTAGCTGATCGGCCCTCCTAAAAAAATTTATACTGCTCTTGCGCAGTCAATATTAATATATCATTCGCCTGGGGTGGTGCATTAAAACAAAATTCCTGAACTGGAGAGAGCACAAAGTCACTATAAATTATCCATTTTAAGCATACAGATTCCCTACGGAAATGTTATATGCGGTTAGCGATCTTCTGTCAGTACGTAAGTTGTATGTATGCAAATATTTAGAACATCGAATATTGATATGATCTAGTATTTTGAAAACTAGAAGGCATAATGTGGCACCTTTACCAACTTTTAAAACTAAATATGCTCATAGACAGTACTGCTACCAGTCTGCTAACTTATATAATAAATTAAACAAGGATTAAATCTATTAATATGAATAAATATAAATTAAAATAACTAAATTTTGTTAAAAACTCAACTATAAGAAGTTGAATCTATTATCTAAAATTACTATTCTAAAGTCTACTTTATCTTACCTCTAAAAGAACACACACACTCAAATATATACAGAATATACACACATACCTCTAACACTCACTCACACACACTACACTCTCACACATAAATAATAACTGAATAAACGAACACCCCTCAATTTATCACTCATACACGATGATCTTTTAACTTTATAAATATTGTTTTGTTTTTGTAATATTATTCCCTTTTGTCTAAACTACATACTAATTAAGTGTATCTAGGAAAGCATATCCAAAAAGTATATTTAATACTTAAATGGAGGCTCAGCCACATTTGTTACCATTGTAAGTGATTGAATAAATATTTTTTCATTTTCATTTTCATTTTCATTTTCATACCTAGGCAATAAAATGTGAGCAGCATAATTGAAAAGTGTTTATGCCATGTCAGTGCTTTCCATAAGTTTATTTTAAAAAAAGCTCTCAAGTAAGATTTATAGTTTACCATTCACACAACAAATTATTGAAAAATATATTTAGACTGAGTACTTAGGAAATTAGTAGAAAAAATATTCTATCGTGGATACCTAGTTATTAAAAAGTTGATAAACGTTGTGTTTACTTAATTTTATTTTTCTGTGCTAATGCCAACATTGACAAACCTACCAAAATAGGTAAAAATTTAGTCCGCTCCTAGACTTTGTGTCGCCGCCGTCGCTTTCATGTCAAAGGTCGCCGCCACTGCCCATGTCCCAAAGAATAAAATAAGTTTCCGGGTGCTCAGAACGGACGCAAATAGATTATGTTGTCCTCGCAAGGAAGATTGTAGTCGTAAGGATAGGTAGATATTATAAAAAAAATTGTAAGTAATAAAAATATACCTAGTTTATATTATTATTATTACCTATTATGCCTTTTTAAAGAACATTGCACTGCAAAATTGGAAGTGGTTGATTTTAACAAACTTGAATCGTGGAAAAGCTCCAAATATGAGCGACGTCATGTTGCTTTACGCATTTTGTTTTAAAATCACACACTTCCAAAAATCTAGATTTGCAGTGTCGGTTTATTAACTTCTATCGTACCTACTCTAGTAGCGACTATTGTCTTCAGCGATGATTTACTAAATAAATAAAAATAATCGTCGTGTAGGTAAGACGATTATTTTTCTAAGGAATACAATTTTGTTGTAGTAGGTTCCTACATCGTTTCTTACTTACACATACTTTAACGACTGTACCTAGTAGCAAAGCGCGTCAGTCACGAGTACGACAGCGCGAATCATAATCTAAAATCTAAACTAACGTGTTCAATAAATAGCAATAGGCTAATAGGTATTTGCAAGTCTTGCGAGACTCTTGCTGCAAGAACAAGATCAAGACAAAGACTGAGAGCGCAATATCAAGACCAGGTGTATTGACGCAAGACCAATACCAAGACTGGCCTAAGTCTCGTCTTGGTTTGCATTCGGGCAACACTAATTTGTTTGCTCAGCCGTCTCGCAAGAGATGTTATATGAGGTTCCCATTGTAATTTGTCGTCTACCGTCATGTCTAGAAAAACTGTTTGTTTATAAATTCCAACATGATGTCACATTCGTTGGTTTTAACATTTGGTATCGTAAATCTTATAAATGTGTTTTTTTTTTCATAATTAGCAAAATTATTACGGAAAGAATTAGAGTTATTTACGTCGTCAAGATTTGGGACCCTCGATCTATTTTAAAGATCAAAGATGTGTCTGCAAATAACACCATCTTCAATTGATTCTGACTAATTTGCGTCCTGCGCTTCCTCCCAAGCGTTACAAATGTTCTTGATTAGGGTAACACCGGCGTCAGTCGTACAACTCCCCGCTGTAAAACCATACTAGTGTTCATGAAAGATGAAATTTTTATTGAAGTGACATAATATTTCATTGAGCATTAACTTTTCAAACACCTTACTGAGAACTGGCTGAATAATTGACACAGAATTTGAACTATAATTCAGATCAGATCCCATTTCAAAATTTACTTGATTTTTTGCCATTCTATCCATGCAAGTAACAACTGAACTTAAATATATACCTAAATAATAATTATCATACTACCTATAAATAATATTAAGAAATTCGATATTTATAACTCATTAAATAGGCCAGTTAAATTTTACTGTTTTTAAATAACTAATATTTATTTTTACTTATACACCTTCAAAATCATTTTCCATTAACTCTTAAAGAAAATGTGAAGAATACAATGTATGTAAATAAAAAATATTTAACTATCAAAAGTCATAAACCCTCAGCTGTGATAAGGCTTCTTTAAGTGAACCACTACAATATAAGTACCACTATAAACTAATTATATTTTGAATAAACTTTCCTTGGTTTATCTAAGTACTATCCTGTTATACATTATTGTCTAAACAATAGTCCATTTGTTTAATTAACTTTACTTATTTTATAAAGACTATAGAGTATCTTATTTTTTGAAAACACAAATTTATTTCAGAATTTTTTCTGAATTAATTGGGAAAGTTAGATTAGGGTAGGCTATAGAATTATAGATTATATAACATCATGCTTCAAATGAAATGGGAAAACCATTACTGTATTTTGTGCAGATTGCATTGTGTGCACTGCTATAGAGCAGCTTATTATAGAATAAGCTTGTCTAGTAGTTAAGAACTATATTTATTTTAAAGCAATCTATCACAGCACAGCATCCAAGTATATTGCGGTTTGTAAATAAGAAAAAATGTGTGTTCATAAAATGGTTGGGGCTAATGAATAAGGACTACGTGTCTCGCAAGTCCATAACCTAACATAGATTTTTAGACAGTTTTGGCCTGACGCATGTTTTAATAATGTTTGTGTCATATTTTTTTTTTTTTTTCAGAAACATGTGATTGAAGAAATGTGTCCAGTCACTGTTGGAGCCTACAGTGGAGATGATAAAGTTGATTATTGGAACAAAACAAAATGGGACTCTGAGCTTTCTCAATATCAAGTAAGCATATAATGTCTGAATTTTCTTGTTTTGGTCAAAAGCCAAAATGTAATTTGTAAACTAACTGTGAGACACTCAACTGTAAATAATTGATGGTCACATGATATTAGAATTGAATCAGGCTGTACAATATTTTGGTAAAACGTCTGTTGCGTCAGTAATTAAAAAAATATAATTTCAGGTGATTATAATGACTTCTCAAATATTACATGATATGCTCACACACAAGTACATCATGATTAAAGATATAAATTTATTAATTTTTGATGAATGCCACCATGCTGTTGATGAACATCCAATGAGGTTAATTATGAGGCATTTTGACGGATTATGTGGAGAACTACCAAGAGTAATAGGTATGTAATTTATCAGTCTGCGTAGCATCTAGAGCATGAGAATATATGTGTAACAAAATGCCATACGATTTAGGTCAAACTAAACGTTGTCGACTTGTCGCCGATACAAAACTCTTTACGATTTTCGTCCTTTTCTTTTACTGATTTTTTAACAATAATTTTCTAAGAAAAATTTATTATTTATTGAATCTGACACGTCGAAATCTGGAGTTGAACACACTAACCGCTAGCCAAATGAGGCAATTAATACAATCGATTTTAAAACCCCACTGTTATAGGTTTGACAGCAACATTGCTAAATTGTAACGTTACGTTACACAAAGTTGAGGATACACTTCGGGAACTCGAAACGACATTTCGAGCTACTATAGCCACAGTTCATGAAAATGTACAAGAGATCTTTAAGTGAGTAAAATGATATATGTAATTATAAAATATATTAATAATTCTAACTACAACCTGTGAAGAATTTATCCAAGTTAGTGCCGCAGTTGAGTGAATGTGAATTTTAATATAGTTGGTTAACAATTATTGTTAAAAAAAAAGACAATGTTTCAAAAAATATTTTTTTTACTATAGCAGCAGTTGCAGCTGCAGTTGTACCTTTACAACTGCATAGTGCATACTCATTCACAAGGAACTGCTTGTGAATGAGTTAGATGAATAAATGAGAGTTAACAAAATAAAAGACCTAAATTTTAGCCTATTATAGCGTAAATACTCGCTGCGTTTACCTAAACGTCTTTTGTTTTTAGTCACTCTACAAACCCGCAAGAAATATTAAAGAACTATTTTCCATCGTCCCCTACTTCAGCCAAGACGGAGGCTAAAAACCTTTTACTGGGACTGGTTAATGTAATCCATAACTATAAATTACCAGTAGTGCAAAAAAATGTCCAATTGCAACATGGTCAGCGGGACATATCTTCTAATCCTAAAAAGGTCCGTATAAATCGTTTTAAGAAGTACAAGCTCTATAGACTTTTTATTTGTTGAAGTTGCCAAGTAGCGCCACTATATGGAACCAGCAGGTCTTTGAGGTATTTCAGAACCAATTCGACTTAGGGTCCTTCAAGAAAAGAGCGTACCAATTTGACTGAAAACTGAATTTGATTTTAAAATACTGTCTTATAACACTATTAAAATTTTGTTTTGTAACTGTTCACTGGCACTAAAGCTTTATTTTTTAACATTCATATAGTAGGAATCCTAATATCATCGTAGATGTAAAGTTAGCTCTTATGCTGGTTCCTGGCAAAAGGCAGCTAGTACTTTTTGATGAAGTGACAGCTATTTCCGTCTTATTTTGTATGCTTGATATGTAAACTTAATTAAGATTTGAGTGTACTACTTTTTAAAAACGCCGATGTTCTCAATTCAGTAACCGGCCGATAATTTATTTAAACATACACATCAAATAGCAATTTTGAGATATCGCTTCTCTTTCCGAATAGATAACAAATTATGTACAACGTAACTGTGACGTGTTATTAATTGAGCTTGTAGCGACACCTACAATGTATGGTAACAGTCACTGCGATGACGTCACTATTTAATATTCATCTCTTTTTGTCACATCTTATTGTATGTCCGAAAGTTGTATGTAGTAAGTATGAAGGTTGATCTCGGTTTTAAATATATAAATTTAGATTCAACGGGAGTTGGCGAATATGGTGTCATCCATGTCATTGCATATCGATGAAATGGGTGCGTACGGCGGGGCCCTGTGCATTATTGCGTATACGATATTACTCGAACGGCTTAAACGACGAACAGTTTCCGACGAAGAAGAATTATTGTACAATATCACTATAACGGGCTGCACAGAGTAAGTACAACGTTTTACTAGCTTCTAAAGAGATTTCAGATATTCTATAGCAAGAAATTAAAGTTGTATATGAAACTGCATGACTAGATTTTGAATTGCGCATTGAAAATTCTGTAATGCCAAAATACATCTGTGTTCGGAACACTTAAGTGGTCATACTTGGAACTAGACGCTTGTGCATGCATGCACTTTGCATGTTTGGCCATGCAAAGTTCGAATAGAACACGTATAGTAATCTATACAAAGTATTACTTTTCATAGTACGATGCGAGATTAGAGAATCATGTTATTGGAATATTTTGTAGGTCCCTATAAAGATGGTATTTCTTGTATGACATTAAAATTATTAATTTTCAGGGCAAAAATCGTATTATTAGACGGAATGGACGACGAAAAAGGATATGCAAAGATTATTAAGCATTCATCGCCTAAAATTAAAGTTTTGTTAAATATTTTGAAAGAATATAAAGCGAACAAAAACAGTAAGAATGATTTTTAAATATTCCTTTGTGATCACGCAACACGATAATACAATACAAAATATAACAGTAAAGTTTTCTATAGAAAAGAAAACAAGATGAATGCGTTCTATTGTGATTGGTCAAACGTATATAATATGACGTAACATGTCACGTGTCAATCTGTACTGAACTGGTGATCTGGGGGCACGGCACCGCCAAGTCGAGCAAAGAAGTGGCACGGTACCATTCTTTTCTCGAAGCAGTTTAGGCCATTTCGACCACTATAACTTAGTTGTGGATAAGATTGGAAGCCTGAATTTTCAGTCACCAAGCATTAACTTTACGGTAGAAAAATTGAGTTGCGACACTTGTTTTTAAGTTATATAAATATATGTTTGATGGCATTTTGTTGACTTCGAACGGAGCCCACAATCGATTCTTTTGTTTACCCCCGAAACGAGTACATAAAATAGCAAATTTAAGCAATAAATCTGTTTCGAACGCACTTGCAAATAGAGATAGATGACGGTGCAATTACGCTGGTTTTAACTCGCTTTTTAAAAATGTGTGTGCGCTTGTCACTGGACCACTTGTATGTCGTAGTTTAAATTGAAGGTACTCATTTCGTGTAATATTTGGATTTTAAAGGTGTTTTTGTAGTCTTGATTAAACTTTCTGACCCGCTTACATTTAAAAAAATACTTATTTTTTACGTTAACCTATCAAAATTGACTTTCAACTGAAACATGTCAATCGTCTACAGCAATTTATTTATCTATCATAAATGTCGATTACCATACCATACCTATAAAGTAAATAACAGCAAATGTGCTCCAAGTTATGTATGGCATTCTCTTTTCAGATAAACCATTATCTGCGATCATATTTACACAGCAAAGGTTCACATCGAAGATTTTATACAATTTACTCAAAGCCGTAAAAAATTCAAATCCCGAAGACTTCGGTTTTCTTAAACACGATTTTATTGTGGGCTTTAACGTGAACCCCTTTAATAACACGAGAGAACAATATTATACTAAGAAACTCAGTAATCAGGCGTTGCTGAAATTTAAAAATAGGTACGTGTAACTTATGTTTTTGTGTGACTATTAATCTGAAACAAAATCAAATCCAAAAATACATAATATATACAGCAGATCGGCCAAGCGTTGCTGTGGCTAAGGTTTTTGTTATATTACATAGTATTAAACTATTCATGGGAAACTGTAGGAGAACACCAGTTATGGGGACCACCATGCTTTATTGGTGGTTATGCCATTAAATTGTAGCTTGTGTGAAACGTTGGTACTTTCAACACAGCGCCATCTGTTAGTATTGTGACTATCAAATAATTAACGAATATTTTGCAATAAAATAATATTGCGGGTATAAATTGAGATGTAAGCTATCCTATCTTTTAAGTTGGATCGAACTACACACGGTGTGCAAATTTGATTGATATCGGTTCGGTAGTTTAGGAGTCCATAGCGGACAAACAACGTGACACGTAATTTATATATATATTAAGATTAAGATAATAATATTAAAACGCATACAAGATGTGGTTGAATTGTAAAAGGTTAAGTAACGCATTTATAAGCAATTTCTATACAGGGACTTGAACTGTCTAATATCTACACGGGTGATAGAAGAGGGTGTGGACGTACCACAATGCTCCCTGGTTGTGCGATTTGACCTGCCGCTTGACTATCGCTCTTATATACAAAGCAAAGGTAATTTAAAATGACTTTCTGATTCCTTTTTTGTACTAATATAATTGAAGAGGAAAGATTTAATTGTTTGTTTGGTTTGACCGGGCCTTAATCACTGCATTAGAATCCTACATTATCCTGTATAGTCTATAGAATATTTTCAAAAAACATCTGTATGAAAACTTCGATAATGTAACCTAACAAAACAATAGAGCAAAGGGATGTACTATAGACATCAATATCTACAAAAAGTCCAATGTGTCGTTTCATTAATGAAGTTGCTACCTTAAATCCCAAGTTGGTTCTCATTTCACACAGACTACTACTAATTTTTATTTGTTCATAACGCACGCCATATCCTTTGATATTAATTATTGGTAAGAAATTTATTTATTTAAATAGGTTTGCCAACTGGCATGGCAGTAAAAGCAATAATAATCCCTTTTACCCTTTTAAGCAAACAGCTTGATTTATACTTAATAACTATTCTAAACTAACATAATTCTTACAATCTATAATATGTGATCTAAAAAAACAATACAAATATAAATAATATTATAATAGATATAAGTTATTGCAAATTTTGGACAGACAGATAGGTCTGTGGCTGTGAGTAAGAGAAGTGGAAGGGATCAATTTCAGAGATAAAATTTATTAGATTAAAAATATATATAATTTATCGTATGAACGTAACAATCTGTGGCTAGAATCCCGACATATATGTCGCTTTGTGTAATGTTTATTACATTACATTGATGCTTTAGTGTTTGTTGATATTAATGAAGAAATGTAAAGCCTAAAATCATACTTTTCAATTCTCTGGTCCGTAGCATTTTGGAATATGGTAGTCTTGTTTGGAACCCTCAATATTCTGTCCATGTTGACAGAATCGAACGAATTAACCACCATTTCTCCAAACATCTATGCCGATTAAATAATATCATTAGTTATAAATGCGAGTATGAAAAAAGACTAGCTTTCTTTCACTTGCAATCACTCCGCGATAGACGCCGCCTTATCGACATTATATTTGTTTAGAAAATTTTAAATAACTTGGTAGATTTACTTAATGTTTTAAGTCAATTGAACTTCCTCTTAAAGAGGAACACAAGAAACACATCAATCCTTTTTTACGTTCGGGCAGTGAGGACCAACGTCGGTTGTAATGCTCCTCTACACACATCTCTATCGACATTAAACGACGCTCGGAGTACATGCGAAGCAGATCCATTTTATGACAGTCTCCATGTCTTCAAGCGTAAGATGCTCCAGCCACTGTTGACCCGTAATCAATAGTGATAATTGCAAATTAGTCTTTTTTTTTTTAGTTTTTTAATTTTGTAAATTGCATGTTTGTATTTTTTAATATAGTTTGTTTTTTACTTTTAATGTTTAAGTTATTTTCTCTTTATCATTTGTAATGTTTCCCTCTAAATGTTATGCACACTTGCTATTGATGCACATGCATGTATCTGGTTTTCTATGTCATGTGTTCTCTGTATGTGTTTCGTTAGTGTGCCTTTTAAAATAAAATAAAAATACATATTAAATTAGAAATTACAATAATATATAAACGTTTTCAAACATTCTTTCGCTCTACTATTATTACTAATCAATTCTTCTGGCCCACCAACTAAAATGGGTTTTCTAATTCCATAGAATTTGTTTATATTTATTTTCTTAGATTGATGTTTATGTATTTTTTATAGGTCGTGCAAGGAACCGGGAATCAAAATATATTATGATGGTGAATGAAACAGAAAGTGAAAAGTTTCTAAGTAAATATTATGGATTTCAGACATTAGAAAGTTGCCTTCAACAGGTCAGTTATTTATGTCTGATAATACGTGTAGGTCGGTTATCGAAAGCTGGCGCGTACACAGTACTCACACTAATGCAATTTCACTATACAGTATATTTAAAAATATGACTTTTTTTGCCAAGCTATATTTGGTCTACTCTGGTTTTAGTAAGGTTGGGTGGGTTGTAAATAAATAAAAATGTGTCAAATACATATAAATATGTGCATACGTGGGTGGATCCAAAAGTTCTAAACCCGACCAAGAACGTAAAAGAGTAGTTTGTGTAAATAATTTTTAATTTTTCGACCTAAGCTCCATCTAGCTCAACACACTTCTTTTACTTCACTAACAATTCTTTCAATACTCCTCTTAGAAACACCAGTCGCATCTGATGTCAAATTAAAAATAACATTTTATCATTAAACTGTTTTTATTAAGATGCTTAAAATAATTAAAAACATTGTACACCATTTCACGAGATTGTCCTGTTAATGTTTAGACGGAATATATTTCATAAGACATTTTTTTCAAAGTATTCTAACCTCCAATCAAATAAGTAAACAATCACAGACAAAATAATAATGAGAAAAAAGATCAACATGTACAGTAAAGATCAACATAAACAGTAGCAAAAGCAAAACAATAACTGTCTCTTTTATACTCATAAGCTTGACCGAGCGCGAGAGAGACGGACAGTCTTTTCATGATGCATATTCAGTGTGACAAGACGCCTCGCGCTTTTTCACAGACACTACACAAGCACAAAGTGTAAATGTGTTGAAGCCGTCAGCTTTAGATAACATACCAATATGTGGTCTAGTTATGAGATGTGGGACTAAAAAGAGTACCCTGTTAGATACTAGAGATACCAGTGTTTTATAAGGCGGGCCAATTCTGGTTAAGCTAATAAATTGTTTTGTGTTTTAACGATGGCTTATTTATTTACAAGTAAATATTATGAAAGAAATGTATATCCCGCGAAAATACCCTATGTAGATTTATCCAAACTTTAGTTTAAATACTTTATTTCTCTATGTTTACCTGCAGTACTAATGAACAGATATTTTTTATTTTAGACACAGATCTTAATAGTGTCATTTTAGGCATTAAAGTCTTAAGCTGTAGTAATAATTAGTCGCTAAATTCCTAATAAGGGTTTTGACTTACCTACCAGTCTAATCTAAGTATACTCTTATCGTAAATGGTCAGGACTTACAAAGCACGAGACGATCAAGTTGTAAAAAAATTGATCTCGCCATTTACATTTGCTCAAAGTTTTAAAAAGAAAACTATATCTTATCCATAAATTGATGAGTTATTATAACCCTGGATAATTGTTGTCCATTACAGTTAATTATGGGTAATGCTAAAGATCGAGCGTCGCCAACTGAAGAGGAAGTTCAAGCAGCTTATGAAGATGATGATATACCACCTTTCGTCACCGCGAATGGAAGTTAGTATACTTAAAGAGAAATATAGTTAACTTATTGATAGATCAATAAAAGGCGGGCTCGGAAGACAGACTGATTTATTAATATTACTAATAGCAGTTAGGCGATAGATGCCACACTTAAGTTATTAATATGTGCTACATCTACTACTATCTATATTTACTATAGATATGTATATATATTTGTTTTTAAAAATGTTTTGTGAGATCAAATTACACAGTATATTTGTAGGGTAGGAATTCCTTTTTTTATTTTCGACTGCAAATCTTCGTATGTATGATGTAATCATCTTTGTGATTTGAATTTCTATGAGCAGTGCATGGGCCTTGTGGTTTTCAACGTGGGACTCTCATCCCGTGGGTCGTAGGTTCTATCTCTGGCTGTGCACCAAGGGATTTCTGTTTATATGCTCATTTAACACTAGCTCGTACGATGAAAGAAAACATCGTGAGGAAATAGGCACACCTTAGACCCGAAAAGACGACCAGAAGGTTGATCACCTACTAGCCTATTAGAAGTGATCACAGAACATATACAGAAATCTGAGGCCCAGACCTAAAAGGTTGTGGCGCCATTGGTAAATGTATATATATAATTTGAGCTCCTATTTATAGTTACGACATCATTCTAATTAAATTATCATTTGTTGGAACAAGACGCACAACGAATTATGAACTTTACCTTTGAACTTTAGTGTTGGCGTCGCATTTACTGTGACGCAACAAGTTCAAAAACTATGGTCATGTATTCAATTCTAGTTTCTTAATATGTCTGTCTTAGATCGCCTATTCGCAACATCAGCCATTAGTCTCTTACATCGGTACTGTAACAGCCTACCTTCCGACCAGTTTACGCTACTCACTCCGATGTGGATACTAGAATATGTTGAATTCAACCCGGTTATCACCATCGTGATGCCAATAGCTTGTTCCATCAAAGAACCGATTAAGGTAAACCATTATTTCGTTACTCAATAAACTTTTACAAGAAAATAGAACGGCAATTTGATCTCAACTGTCGCATAATTATTATATAATAGATATCACACAAAAAGTCAACCAATCTCAATTGCTTTACATAAAAAAAAAATACATTATTTAACATTATATTAGAGTAAAAAGCGATAAAAACTTAGATTTAAACAAAATTAAGAATACGTGTGTGTATGTGTGTACACGTGTTAGAAGTTATACTCCTTTGGCGTAACAAGATAAAAATCTTTTTAAAAATTGTATTCTACTTTTGCAGAAAACAGGTATTTAATACATTGAAAGTTTTATTATTACGCATTATCTAGTTAAATAAAGTTTATTTAAATCACAAAAAAAACTAAAACGTTGACTATAGCTAACTTCAGGGTGTCGGTTTTTTGTGACGTTGTGCGCACGCATCGTAAAAATTTACCCTCATCATTTTTCCCTAACGCGTCAAAAGAAGTATAACTTCAAAAACTTTTCTCATCTCAGCTAGGACTAGTATTTAAAAAAAAACATGCTTTTTCCAGGGAGACCCCTATAATAGTGTTAAAACGGCGAAGCGTTCGGCTGCATTAAAAGCCTGTGTCAAGTTATATTTAGCTAAAGAATTTGATCAGCACCTTCTACCAAAAACATATGGGTGAGTTTACAATTTTATTATTATATATATATAAAGGAATATTATTATGGATTTTTTCTAAATGAAAACACAAAATTGTTTCTCTGAAATACAAAGAAACGACATTTAATGTCCACTTATCTATCTTTTTACACTATAATCCACTAAATTAATTTACACGTCATCCGCCATTTTATCGCGTGTCACTCCGACGCGTCAAATTCAAATTAATGAAATATCATTCCATTACATCTCCCCCCCTAAGAGAAAAAATTCTGAATAATATATCTACACACTATACTTAATAGCTATCTTCATATTCGTTTTCCTTATATTTCATCTTCTTCAGATTCTGTTGTAACCGGTTGTAATTTTGTTATGTGGAACAAAGTTGATTCTGTTTTTCTGTTACCAGTGTCAATCCTATAAATGGAGTTCGATATTTTCCCTACTATCTTAAAAGGACCTATTTTTAATTCGTCTAATTTCTTTCTATTCAGTCTATTTCCATTCTCAACATATACACTGTCGCCTATATTAAACTCTTGCATTTTTCTTTTTCTATCAAATATTTTCTTATTGTACTTGTGGGATTTTATTGTATTTTCTAATGCCAATCTTTTATCAGCAATCCACTTGTCTTCTCCTTCTATTATTTTTAATTCATTTGGTAGAATGCTGACATTTGTACCATCCAGTAAATATTTTGGTGCAAAACCTGTAACGGAGTGTTCTGTTTCATTATATTTCTCTACACATTCTCTTGCCACTGTTGTCCATGTTCTCTTATTATTTTTCTCATTTATTCTACATCTTATTTTATTAACTATTGTTTGATTTAACCTTTCATTCAAGCCATTTGAGAATGGTGTATTCACAGCTGTAAAAATTAATTTAACATTATTTTCATGTAGATATTGCTTAAATTCTCTTGAATTGATGCCTGGATATTGATCTGTCAAAATTATTCCAATCTCATCTGTTTCTAGTACATTCTTTGTTAGTTTTATAAAATCACTTGCATTCTGTGTTTTTGACGTCACAATAAATGCATATCTTGTATAATGGTCTACTAAAAGGTGTAGGTACTTTTTTGTTGATCTAGATCCTCCAAAGCCACCTATAGTATCCATTGACATTATCTCAAATGGTTTTGTTGCTGGTCCCAGTTGTGACATTAATCCAAATTTTCCTTGACCTCTTGATTTATTTTTTATGCATATTTCACATGTTTTACAAATATTTATGATATTCTTTGTTAGGTTTTTAGCTGTGTATATTGGACTTATTTTTTTCTGCAATTGTCTGATCCCAATATGGCATAAATCTTCATGCACCTTTTTGATAAGTTTCTTACTAAATTCTTCTGAGAGGATAATCTTTTCATGTTTCTTTATTTTCTTATAATATATTGTATTTTTTTGTATTAGATTTTCTTTATTTTCTTCTATTGTTTTATTTTGCTCTTGATCTTCAACTATATTCTTTATTTGTATTAAATTAACTATTTTCAATAATTCCTCTTTGTTATCTTCTGATTCTAATACAGGATTTCGGCTTAAACAGTCTGCTTCTACATTTTCTTTACCAGGTATATATTTTACCGTAAAGTCGTATTGAGACAGGTAGTATGTGAGATCACCCAATTCTTCGTCTGTCCTGCATTTAATGTTCATGTTTTCTAAAGGTTTGTGGTCTGAGTAAATAGTGAATTGTTTTCCAATGAGCCAGTGTTGCCAGTATTTGACTGCTTCTTTCATAGCAAAACATTCTAAGTATATAGCTTTTTTCCGTTTTTGAGATTCATTCAGTTTTTTGAAAAATATGCTACTGGTTTGTCATTACCGTCCAGTTGTGTTTGTTTTAATATTGCTCCGATACCCTCTAAGGATGCATCTGTAAAGATTTTTATTGGTAAGTCTTTGTCATATATTTCCAATACCGGTTGAGAACATAAATATCTCTTTATTTGATTAAATGATTCTTCACACTTCTCTGACCACACAAACTTTTCGTTTTTTCTTAATAATTTATGTAATGGATCTAAGATAATCGCGCTCCTTGGTATGTATTCATGGTAAAAGTTAATTTTTCCCAAAAATTGTCTGATATTCTTTTGTGTCTTCGGAGTTGGAAAATGTTTTATCGAAATCAAATTATCTTTTACCGGTCTTACCGAGTTGTTTTGAATTACATGGCCAAGATACTTTACTGAGTCTGAGGCAAAGGTACACTTCATAAACTTCAATCTAAAGCCTTCTTTTATTATTGCCTCTAATACATTTTTTATGTGTCTTATATGGTCCTCAAAAGTAGAGGAGTAGATTAAAATGTCATCAATATAATTTACAGAGTATCCTGTGAGATTGTGCTTTCTCAGAATATTACTTAAAACTCTCTGGAAAATTGCTGGTGATGTTTTTAAACCAAAAGGAAGGCAGGTCCACTGAAAATGGCCATCTTGTGTGACAAATCCTGTTTTATATCTATCTTCCACCCGTAGTGGTATGGCCCAAAATGCTGAGTTTATATCAAGAGTAGTAAAATACTTACAATTTCTTGTCTTAATAATTAAATCATCTATTAATGGGAAAGGTTGAGCTTGTGGTACAACAATTTTGTTAAGTTCTCTAAAATCTATACATAATCGAGATTTTCTATTTTCACCTTTTTTAAATGCTAATGTCACTGGCGCAGCAAAAGGACTGTAAGATTCTTCTATTAAATTATTCTTTAGTAATCTGGATATTTGTTCTTCGATTTCTAATTTATCTTCTATCGTACATCTGTATGGTCTTTTACTACAGTATGTATTTACAAGTAAATCTATGTGAGCTTCATAATCTTTAACTGATCCTATATCATACTTGTCCCTAGCAAAAATAGTTTTATATTTATTTATAACTTCTTCTTTATCTAAATGATCTGTCTTACTAACAAATTCCTCTGTTTCTATGTGTTCATTGAAATTTATTGCATATATTTTTATATTCTTATCTTCATTTCTGTTATCTTTAGACATCCTGTCTATTTTCCTTTGTTCTATCTGCAAGTCCTCATTTTGGATTAATTTGAACTTCTTTATCATATCCAATCCGATTATAAAATCCTCAAAATCTTCATTTTCTACTATATATATATCGACCTCTTCTTCTAAATCAAAGATTTTTATTTTTATTGTTATCAAGCCATCTGTCTTCTTCACACCATTAACCGTTTTCATATATGTTATATTCACATTGTCTTTTTTTTCTTTTACTTTAATCAATCTTGAATTTATTAAAGAGATCTGTGAGCCTGAATCATAAACACCGCTCACTTCTAGTTTATTTTCTAATAATAGCTTGATTTTGATTAATGGTGTACTTACTCGTTTTTTTTCTCAGTATTCATATCTACTTCAATAATCGAATTATTATTTACATTTTTGGCTTTAAAAACCTTTTCAGATTCATTTTTATTTTTCTTGAACCAACATAACTCCTCCGGATGATATCTAATTCCTTTGTCCAAAGATTCACAAGTCTTACATGGCTTCTTCTCATTAATTTTATTTTTATAAGAATATATATTCTTTGTTATAGTTGAGTTTTTCTTGAAAATCATACATTCATATTTTCTTATCTCGTTGAACAAATCAGTAGTGTTGTTGAGTTCGTCCCTGTTTAACTTATTCAAGATAAAACTAGGTAAACCAGTTGCAATTAGATCTATCATTGTTCTGGAATCTATCGATTTATTTATATCTAGTATAAGCCGTTCTTTTTTTATAGCATAATCAATTAACAGCCCTTCTTTATACTTGAATGTGAAAGCAGTTGTGACTACATCCAACCCTTGGTTCCTAAAAGTTTCTAAAAATTTGTCTTTCCATTCATTCCATTCAGAATTTACTGATAGTTTAATTACCATCGAGCTATACCAATCCAAACTGGAGTTTTCTAAAAATAATCTCAATATATCTATTTTTGTTTCATCTTTTGTTATATTAAAACGCTCACACTCTTTTTCAAAATTCTCTATCCATTGCACTGCATTAGGATTCTTACTTGTGAATTTTTCGATAATAAATTTCTCTGAAACATGTTTTAAATTATGTTGATTTTCTTTTTTTGTTGTAGATTCTATTAATTTTTCCAGGATATGTTGCAAATTATCATCATTGCCTCTTGGTTGTTTTGTGCTCATTTCCTCTAAATATTGATCTAAAAATTGCATATTACCTTCCTCATCTATATATGTTTTCTTTAGATCTTCATCTAATTTTACCCATATCTTTCTGCTTTGGTGCCTTTTCTTTATACTATTTTTTATTTTTGAAAAAGTGTTCAATTTAACTATATATGTATGATGAATCACCGGCTTCAATTCATCAGGTAAAACATAACATTTTCCTTCTTCTGTCAATATTGAAGTTATGGCCAATATATTAGATTTGCCATCGATTGAGGCCATCATCGTGAACTCAAATTGCAGCCGGTCCATCTTCTTTTAGTTAACAAAAATGTCGTTTTATAAAGGAATATTATTATGGATTTTTTCTAAATGAAAACACAAAATTGTTTCTCTGAAATACAAAGAAACGACATTTAATGTCCACTTATCTATCTTTTTACACTATAATCCACTAAATTAATTTACACGTCATCCGCCATTTTATCGCGTGTCACTCCGACGCGTCAAATTCAAATTAATGAAATATCATTCCATTACATATATTTATTAATTAACTATTTTTTCTTTCAAATTATTGTGTCTTAAATATTTCTTCTTTTCTATGTTTTCTTCTTGTCTCTATAATAGTCTGTATTTAACTCTTTCCACGCATACTATTATAGTAAAGTCTTTCCTGTCGTATGATTTGACATAAATATATAATTGTTGTGAATAAACGAAATGTTGCGTAGTAAAGAAGAACTATTAATTAATTTCGTATAATCGCTTTGCCGGTTGGAATTCCGCACAAAAAGGAATGCCGTATGTTACTAAATAAGTTTTAAAAAGTGCTTAAATAGAGGAATAATAACATTTCAGAGAAATAAAATTCGAACAAGAGGATATAAAGCAGTGTTTCCTTAATTGGCCATGGGACGACCCCAAAGAAGATAATAAAGACGGGACACCACCCGCTGGCACAAAAAAACGCGTTCGCAAGCACAAGAAAGTGGTATGTCTTTTTACCCAGTGTAAAAAACCGAAGGAGATTAACAATTATTCAATACAATCTTTTCTGGGTCTTGTTTTTACATTTATTTGTCATATTTGTTTATCGAGGCTTCATATACTTAAAAATCATAAAAAACCTTTCGATTGCTATTTCGACCCAGTAAAGGAAATTCAAAGACTATCTGACAACGCCGATAAATAATAAAACAAATTCACGTTTACGTTGAAGAATAATAAAAATAATTTATTTTGCAGTATCCCAGTTATTTCAACGCATTGCCTTCTGTAGGCAACCAAAAATTCTACTTGCATTTAATAAAACTTGATGTCGCTTTCGAAAAACCTACTGAATCACGCGAAATAGCGCTTTACGACCTTTTAAAAATGGATGAAGGGTTTGGGTTTCTTACAATGCAGCCTTTGCCGGAAATTTGTGATTTTCCAATGTATCTAAGAGTTGGACAAGTTATGACAAATATACAAATGAATTATGCCTGCGTTACATTGGATACAGCGCAGCTTCAATTGATCAAACGGTAAGTGTATTGTGACAATATGTTTAAATTTATGTAAAATATTTTAAAAAAAATACATTATACACCTGCTTATTAAAATGAAATATCAGTTATACGGAAAGATACTCTAGTCACTGGATGGTTACACTTTTGATATTGTTTTTTTAAGAATTTAAACTTAAACCGCCAGCGTGGTTTAATAGTTAATAAACACCCCGAAGGTTCTGGGTCGACGAATACTCAGAATATACGAAATTACCAAAAACATTATTAATGTATAGGTAAAAATTATATATATATATATATATATATATTATTCGTGAATGTCGAGGCTATTCAACCTCTTGACACCATTGGCCTAGTGAAAAGATTGAAATGAACACAACCATTCGAATTAGTGTGAGTGCACGTGAGTGTTAAGTGCTAAGCAGTGAACAGAGTGTCTTCCCCTTAATAGAGACTTAGTAGTGTTATTATATACTTTCTTATGTTAAATATCCTTTTTGGTAAATTAGGTTAGACTTAAATTACTAATTTATTAGTCTCAGGCAAGATCGTAATGTTAAATGATGTCTCAGTGAAGAGACAATTTATAAAAATAACCAAATATTAAAACTTATACAGGATAATTATTTTTCAGATTCCATTTCTTCATATTCGATCAATTGTTAGCGGTTGCTAAGAAATTCGTGATATTCGAAGGTTCTGTGAATTGCCTCTACGTTGTTCCTACGATTAAAAAGGTCGGATTTGATATCGACTGGAACGTAATGCGGACGCATAATGAAATAGAACCCAATGAGATACCATCAGACAAGGTTTGTAATTTTATTATTTAAAATCTATTGAACAATAAAATTTGTTCATATATACGCATTTATATGTGGAGTATCTGCAGATAATAATTTAATAACTTCCCGCTAAAAATTTTGCAAGGCCGTCCAATTGTTGAAGTAGTCGCTTTTTCTGTTGTTTCACATATGTATAGTTATAGTATCTATATGTCATAACTATATCTGTATATCATAACTAAGGGTAATGGCGTGAGCTATTTCGTCGTCTCCATGAAGGCTCGCCTATAAATCTCCCCTAAGATTCGGAATAAAAATATACATGATTATAATACGAATTGTTCAATTTGGTCATGGATGAGTGACAACAGTATTACGCGAAAGTCGAAAGTAACGAACTAAGTCAAAAACCGGATCGGGTTAAAAATTACTTTATTATGAGGATGATTCCTGAGTAACATGGGCTATATTTATTACTAAAATTAATTGTTCAACCATGCAAAGCCCGACAGACAGCTGGGCAGCCCGAAAAAACGTGAGTCGTCGTGAAGTTGAAAATTTTGAAAATATTTTTATAAAGTCAATTAATTTATCAACTAACACACGTAACTTAACTTGGCGAGATGCAAGGTTAAGTTTAGTTAGATATTGTTGAAATCATGTCTGAAATATTAATTTTGAAACTGTTTTGTTGCTGTAGCAAAGGGCGTCAACAAGAGCTTCGCGGGAAACGCATCAGAGGAAAGTCGTTACGCCGTGGTATAAACCTTATCTCATTCCTGACAGGTAAACCTAACATTACTTATTCATTATTATTAACTTAGGGAGCGTTCAAGTATTACGTCACGCAATTTTTGGAGATTATTGACACCCCCACCCCCATGTAACGCACCGTAACGTTTTTCCGTACCCAAGTATAGTAAAACGTTTCGTGACCACCTAGTGACTCTTTATACTTAGAAGTTACCATTATGTCGTGTAAATTACTGGAAAGTTGTAAATAATATTAACAATAACGAGTAATTCAATCCCCGCCCCGCATCGTAACGTTTTATAAAAGGACCCCCCCCTCCAAAATTCGTTACGTAATACTTGAACGCTCCCTTAAGTATTAATAAGATCTATAAATATTGTTTAAAGATTTTTAATCACCCTGGTAGAAGGCTTTCTCCCTACTTATGTATCGGAATCTGTGCGTCTTTTTCATTTATTTAAACTTTTTATATTTTGCTTATTTTATAATATTTTTTGCCAGGTAGCCTCGAAGTTCGTTATAACTATAGCCTTCTTAAATTAACTTTATCACAAATATTTACAACGGTGAAGTAGCTAAGATTAACTCATTAAATGAAACTCTTCAGCTTTAGCTTTATACACCATTCAAGTATCTGCAAAAATAGATTAGTATAGTTAGAGTTCGTAAGCACGGCCCTGGTAGTACATAAGTAGCGCAAAAAGTGCTCACTAAAATTGCATTTACTTTTCAATTATTGTGATCATTTTTTTATTGATTGGATTCTAGTATAATAAAATACTAGGTATTGGTATGTTATTTAAAGCTGGCGGCTTCAACACATTTACACTTTGTGCTTGTGTAGTGTCCGTGAATAAGCGCGAGGCGTGATGTCAAACTGAAATACAATCACAAATACATCATGAAAAGACTGTCCGTCTCTCTCGCGCTCGGTCAAGCTTATGAGTATAAAAGTGACAGTTATTGTTTTGCTTTTGTTACTGTTTATGTTGATCTTTACTGTACATGTTGATCTTTTTTCAAACATTACCAGGACAATCTCGTGAAATGGTGCACAATGTTTTTAATTATAAGCAGTTTAATGAAAAAAATGTTATTTTTAATTTGACATCAGATGCGACTGGGGTTTCTAAGAGGAGTATTGAAAGAATTGTTAGTGAAGTAAAAGTGAAGTGTGTTAAGCTAGATGGAGCTTATGTCGAAAAATTAAAAATTATTTACACAAACTACTCTTTTACGTTCTTGGTCGGGCTTAGAACTTTTGGATCCACCCTCGTATGCACATAATATTTATATGAATTTGACACATTTTTATTTATTTTACAACCCACCCAACCTTACTAAAACCAGAGTAGACTAAAATATATAGCTTGGCAAAAAAGTCATATTTTTAAACATTCTGTATAGTGAAATTGCATTAGTGTGAGTACTGTGAACGCGTCAGCTTTCGATAACCGACCTATATCGATGTGACAAATTATTTTGAAAACTTTTTTTTAATTTAACACAACTTTAATCTATGCTTATTTCCTTAAAAAACATGATAATTCAAACCTTTAATAGTCTTGTAGAGTTGTTTTCATTACTTCTGTTATTTTATATTGTTACATGTAGGTATAAATATTGGTCAAATATTTCTAGACTAAAAAGCAATACTTGCTCCAAATACTGGGTTTTTTATATTATTAACTATACTTTTATATAAACACATTATATTATTACAGATACGTTGTGACAAATGTACTCGAATATATGACACCACAATCTCAGTTCGTAACCAACTCATTCGAAACATACGCTGATTATTACATAAACAAACATCAGTTACAGCTCTTGGGTCCTCAAGATCAACCGTTGTTGGAGGTATGTCTTTTTAGTAATAATTAAACTAACCTCAAACACAATCCTGCGTTACTCAAAAATTTTTTATATCTTAAAAAAGTATTGGCTTCCCGAAATTTTTTACCGTTTTTCTCATACTGTGAGATAATACAACTAAGGTATTTTGAGTAATGAAGTAAATAAGAAAATAGTCTAGAATTACGTAAGAAAACACCTGATTATAGGCCGTTAAACTATTATTGCAGGTTGTCAGAATAAATACCAAAATGAACTGTTTATTACCCCGTGGAACTACAATCAGGTCGCTAACTGAGAAACAAATGAAGTTAATTGCGCAAGCGCAGGACGATGAAAAGCCGAAAGCCTTTAAAGAGATCTTTGTTCCCGAATTGTGTACCAAATACGAGTTTCCGAGTGTTCTTTGGTACAAGGCGTATATGCTACCCAGTATAATACACAGGTAAAATAGTGTTTTCGTACGATATTTTTTACAGCAAATCTTTTCGATTTGGGAAACTCCCAATTTTGGCATAAAATTAATGTTATTTTTTCTAAATTATTCATGGCGAACGGCAAATTACTAGCTTGTCTAATGTGAGTGCGGCTTTATGCTTAAATAAATTGTTGATTTTTCGAAGTAATAATGTTGTTGCTTTTTCTGTAGGAAGCGGATCTAAAGAGCTTGAGAGCAGTTTTTTAAAATAATTAAATAAACTTGTAGTCATGGTACTTATCAATTTATGGTATATAAAAAAATAAACATAGATATTTTTTTTCTTTTCTTTTGTAGAATAACTATGTTATTGGTAGCCTACGAATTGCGTGCGGAAATTTCGAAAGGTATTAGTTACGGTAAACCTCACCCACCAAAAGGTTAGTAAAATTTGTATATTAATAATTACATTTTTAATAAACCATTTTATCTACTTACTCTTAACTTTATTTTTGAGAGATTTTAATTTTGTTTGACGCAATAAACACATTTTAGTGCCATAAATCTAAAATTTAATTCTCCCTTTTAATTGCAGTCTAATAATAATAACGCTTATTCATTTTTTGATTGCCAATCTTACAACTCACCAATAAAATGCCCACGTACAAATTATATTGTTTTTATCAGTATACCTGAATTAAATATTATTGGTAATTGCTAAGACTGGCGGTTAACGTATTAAATAACTTTAGGGGAAAAGTGGTTGCCCATTGAAACAAATATTAATGTAGCGAAAAAGAGCTTACTCTCGCAAATAGAAGAGCCAGCAGCGGCCAGCAATAACAGCATTGACAGGTATTAAATTCCTTTCAGTTTCATACACAATCGTGACTTTCTTAAATTTTTAGTTAATAACGTGAATAATTATTTAATTACAATCCTTTGTATTAAATATTAATTCAGTTATATTCCCACATATTCTTAGAAGTAGCTTTGCAAGCTTTTCTCCTAATATATCTCGTGGTAATTTGCAAATAAGTATACGGCAAAATATTAATAATCTCTGCATTGTTTGACGGTAAATGATCAGCCTTCTGGCTGACACGTTTTATATTTTTGGGTCTGTCGGTGATCTTTCCTCAAAATGTGTTTCTTTTCCTTTAAGCAAGTGTTAAATTGACGTTCAATATTGTATGTAAAAAAACGATTTGATGGTTCGGAATCATAAAACGCTTAACCTTATTCTAACGTTGCTTTCAAGCTTTTAAAATTATAAGTCGTTTATGAAGGAGACCTGTATTTTGGTCTTTATATGCTAGTAAATGAGGCGGTTACTTTATTGTTCTAATCTAGGCGTGATAACGTAATGAAATGGATGAAACCTACCTGAATGTTATAATCGTTTACAAAGAGATCGTAAGGAAAACAATCTTTCGTTGGTTACACTGCTTTGAATTGTTTACGAGCGATTGTTTACGCGGACTAATTGGAAGCTTTTCAAAGCTGAACCGCCTGAATACAAGAAACATTAACAAAACTGCAATTTTATGGAGATATGAACTGGCTTTCCTAAGCCATTTTAAAAACACACAAAGAAAGGGTAACAGAAATAAACCTAAACCATAAGACTAAAAATGTATAAGTCTGATTAATCCAACATAATTCAGACTTATATACCACCAAATAAAGGCACATGTTTAAGGTGAAGCAAGGTAAGCAATAACAAAGATTGGAAAATGCGTTCGGAAAATCTAGTCCCTTGCTGGAGCGAAGTGAATGGCCTCCTTGATTCAAAAAGTGTCAAAAAAACTGGGAGGAGACAGAGAATATTTTATAAGAGTCGCTTTAAAAATATTACTAGACAGAAACTTCTTCTTCATCTTCAGGAATTTCTATGATGTACAAAATATGTTGGTCCGAAATAGAGTTATTGTCCATTACCTTAACACAGGGGAGAGAATAATAAATTTTATTAAATCAATAAACAACCATAGGACACAAATAATTTGCAAAGCATTATTACAGTGAAGATGAAGATACAAGAGAAAGACAATTTCGTACAGAAAACCGAAAATATATTCCATCACCCGAGCGGAGTAGATCGCCTCATTCAAGGTTAGATTTTCAAAATATTTGCAGTTCAAAGGTTTAATAATATACTTTAAAGTTTAAACCAATCGCTTTAAGGAATTACTACAAAACATATTCCTACATCTGCTGGTTTGTATGACAAGCTTAATTCACATCATTAGTAGAAAAGTATATTTTTTTTATAATAATATACAGTGTTTATATATTATGAACAGGAATTAAATGAAGGTACTAAATCATGAAGAAAAGTGGATTATTATTATTAAATGTTGCTTGCTGCAATTATGTACTGAAGACTAAACGAGATAATGAAGGCATCTTACAAGAGTTGTTTACCCTTAGCGATTAAATCTAGACTTATAACTATTGTTTTATAGAACTGATGTTAAGTGATACGTCTCGCCCATGGACACTCTTAATGCCAGAGGGCTTGCGAGTGCGTTGCCTTGCATGTCCAAGGTACATAGAGTTTTGCGTTTTGGCAGCACGTTGCCAAACTATAAAGGTTTGGGCATTGTAAAATTGATATTATAACAAGGCAATATAATACATATATAATGTAGTGATAAAATAATATAAGATTTGACTATAATTATATGACTCATAATGTAATTGTAACTTCTATTCTACCTTTTAAGACAAATTTGCAGCTTTTGTGGCAGAATATGCGAACTTTAGATTGTTCCACCGTAACTTTTTTGTACCATATTCTTGCAAATAAATTATTATTATTATATACCAACTATATGTAGGACCTCAAAATCGTTACCTCTCATCTCAAATAAATATCAGTGTTACTTCATGTTATTTCATTTTCATAACTGTGTAGGATAAGTGATCCTGTTGTATCGATATCGATGAAGGAGAGTCTCTATCAACTTCAGAAAAAGAAAATGAGTGCGGAATACGCTTGGGAGGTTTGTATTAGCTTATGTTGCAAATTGCTTATTAACTTGTTTTTTTTCTCGCACTATTATAATCACATGCTCAATCGTATCATGACTATATAACTACATGGATTGTATGATGTATCATTTAGTAAACCTAAAAGTACTCCACAGATTAAATATGTACACAGAGAGGGATGGGTAAAAATTATAAACCATATTTTGAAAGTAGTGTGGTATCTGTTGTTTGTATTACAAATCAAACTGTCGATTAATTCGATCATTACGATATTCTTTGTAGATACAAATTAAACTATAGACTATTATTACTGTTCTAGGGATACTCGCATGTAAATAAAGTTTACTGGTTCCGTGACTAACAAATAATTGTTGAATGTAGCGAATATGTCTGTTTTAGGAAAACGCGGAACCAATTGATATAGAGAGAAATATTACTGAAGTTACATTACTGGATATCGAATGCTATGACACATTTGCGATGGCTCTTATGTCTGATGAGAAAAATAAGGCCTTTGCTAGGCCCAAAAATCCACCAATCGGCACCGCTATAATGCCACCCCCACTCAAGTAAGAATGCACAAAAATTAATATTATTTCATTGCTCACACTCTCACCTTTTGATTTAAATACTACAACAAAAATTTAAATGAAAACAAAAGTACGGGTTTATTGGCGTTAATTTCGAGACATTATTCCACTACTAATAGTAATTATTAGAGCTTGTGGGCTCACATTTCTCGGTTCGTTTCACTCATGATTTTTCCATCCTCTCAGTGGAGCATGACTGGATAAGTTTCACACGTGAACGTATGGTTCTGTAATTGGCAAGTTTTTGTAATTGGCACGAAAGATAAATTATACCTTACCATACCATAGACATAGCTAGATAAATTTAGGACTGTATTTCACTAGTTATAAAAAGAAGAAAAAATGAAAGAGTGATGCATAATTTAAGTTATATTTTATATGTGTTTATAGTGTTAATATAAATGTTATAATAAATGAAATCTTAAATCTTGCACGATACGATACTTTGGTCATAAAAATACGTCTTGAATTTCGTTTTAAATGACATTTGACTGTTGTTTTTTTAGTTGCTACCTTATTATTTTGCTATCAAGTCTCGGCATGTTAAGGGTCTAACACATGATCATGAAATGGCTTGTTTTTCATTGTTTTTTAATCATAGTCTTTTACATGTGTGTATAGTGTATACTTTTTCTATAGCTATTCAGACAAGATAAACCTCTTGTCTCGTAAAGCAACAGGCAACGGCCCGGAATTGCGCGACGTCCTCGCAGCTCTAACGACCATCAACTCTCATGATTCCTTCGATTTGGAGAGAGTGGAGACCCTTGGGGACGCTTTCCTTAAATTTGCAGCGACTCTTTATCTATTCCACAAGTTTCCCAAGCTTAATGAAGGACAGCTAACAAATATTAAAGGACGCCTCATAGGAAACAGGTATTTACATTATTTTTCTGGATTGCTTCAAATTGGTTAAAGTATGGGGGTGGGGCGGACACTTGCGGACCCTCTAAGGATGTGATCTTATTTTTGTCATCCTTATTATAAAATGAAGTCCCTCGTCCACGTCTGTATGTCTATGATAGCAATAAACTCAAATACTACCGAACGGATTTTTAATTCCATTTTCACCAAAGATTGTGCTGTCACTACATTATGATTTTTCTGAATGAATTTAGATCTTGAATTATATTCTTTCGTGTATATATTATCTTGAAGAGGTCGCAAGTAATCTCGCCAAAATATGATATATTTACCGCCGCGGCTGCGTGTGGAGGGTAGTATAGCTGTAGTAGCTTAAATACTTAATATAATTTACTGGAAGTGGTGAAGTTAAGAGCCCGTATTCGAAAACTTACCGTATTCAAGAATAAATTCAAATATTTTAGGAATCTGTTCTATGCCGGCAATCGTATTGGTCTCGGTGGGCGAATCAAAGTCGAACAATTTAGTCCAAGGATGGATTTTGTGGTCCCTGGCTTTGCAGCTCCTCAAGAAGTTATTAATTTTATTGAAGAACGAAAGGTTAGTACTACCTTTAAAATATGTATATGCTTTTAGTTTAAAATTCTTCATATTTAGTTCGACAACTTTGTGTTTGAAGTACTTAGAGTAATACTGCATATAATACCAAAAAAATATACTCGCGTGATCCTTTATTAAAGGCTTATTTTTGTAGGACGTTGGACAAAGACTATATTTAACAGTTGCATAAACTACATATCGCCTTATAATTATAAGTTTTAAAGGAATTACGACAAAATAGTCTACGGTGCATGTTTTTTAAAATATTTACATAATTATTGCAATTCATATTTATTTTTCTTGCGATTAACAAGATAAGATTTGATACATAACACGTTAAGGATAAAAAGCAAATTATATTTAACTTGGAAAAGATAATATATAATGGACAATCTTATCTTTAATTTTATATTTTATTAAATTATTTTGTCCAGCAGTCCAAAGAAGGTCAATTATTTGATTCATTAATATTTATTACCACCGACTCATACGGTAGAAATTGGATAGAACACTATCCACTAGTGTACTTGGGAACTAGGTGTTACCATTTCAAAGCGATAAAGGTGTGAAGAGTTAGTTTAAGAAATGACCTATATCTCTTATAAAAAATGCATTTGAACACTTCTATAGAACGAAAATACTTGACAATATAAAAACAAATCTCAGAGAACTCATTGGAATGTTTTATTTTTTGTTCAGTTCAATTATTTCAATTTGTTGTGCCGAATTATAATTTACATTATAAATAATAACCCTAACACCATGTATAATCACGCCATTACATTATAAAAATTATCAAAGACGATATAATGACCTGATTGCATTGAATGATAATTACATAATAAAGAAAATAATACTAGAAAGAGATCAGTCTGTGTCTTCGCACAATAATCGCAAACAATTTTTATTTGTACAAATTGTACCCGTTACTTAAAACAAATATTTACTAATGATCGGTGTACCGGTTGTTAAGAATTAATATGAGGGTCAATCACAACAGTAATGTAATCCAAACATTTTTGTTCGGTTTGTCAATAGGGAATCACGTCACACTGTCTGTATTATCAAATTGTCAGTTACACTTAGGGCATGTTTCATATAATATAACTTTGCTTCCAGCTCGCAAAATAAATGTTACTGCACTACTAGCTAAGAATACAGTACTGAAAATACAGTAGATTAATGTTAACTTTTTTAAATTTGTAAAAAGCAGGTGATTTATAAAAATGAAAAATTCGGTTTTCATTTATTGTTCAGTGGCTAAAAACTAACACAACCTACTGTACTTGTCAGAGAATTTGACAGTGAACTACTCTTACAGTGATAGAACAAAATTCTAGAGGCGCCAGACATTTCGTTGGCATGTACCTTAAATGTATCTACTATGTTGGTCCGACGGCCATTCACAAATGCATGAAAACACAATCTTGACTCTTTATATGGTAATTAGGGAACTGTTTCAATGCTTGCTATAGAAGACACACCAATCCTAAAAGCCTCATTAAAGTATTGCAATGTTTTAGAGCGCTAGGTTTTCGCACGCACAATGATCATATCAGCCATCAGCGAATTCTAGCGCTCATATTTATTGCGACACTAAATGAGACTTAAACGATGTTTAGCCCTTAGAATTTGTAGACTTCCTGGATTCATTCAAACAGTTCTTTGATTACTATTAGGTTTGAGACCATTAATGAATTAAGTAGTGTTTTCACGTATCATCAGCGATTCCTACCTGAGCATTGACCCTTATTTTGTCGGCTCTTGGGCTTTTGCCCCTGCTGAGTGTAGGCATTTACAGTACTACTAACATTAGGAATATGTACGCCCGCCCGGCGTAACTTGTATTAAGGCACATGAAGCTGGAAACTCTGATACATGTAGATGTTGAGTTATTATGCGGCAACAAAAAGAAATTTAGAAATACAATAAAGAGAAAACTAAAAAAAACATATTTGGTGGTATAAGCGATGTTGTTACAAAACAATTCACACTTTCACGTTTTCTCAGTTGGGTTTAAGATGTTTCATGTTTGTGCACACCTGAGAATACAGCGGGAATGTGTATCGCTTGTTGTTAACTTAAAAACTAAATACAAAACTAAACACACACAAAGTAAAACTAAATACAAAAGTAAACACACAAAAATAAAAGAAAGTAGGTACACACGCTTAATAATTAAGTCTGAAGCTAATGATTTCCTTCACTGATTCGAAGACGTCGTCGGCCAATGCCTTCGGCGTTTGCATGGCGGCAAAATGACCCCCGAAATCGTGGGTAGTGGATCGTACAAGATTAAGAAACTTGTCCCGTAATATCCAGTCAGGTTGATACACCACTTCGTGCTTGAAATTTATAGCAGCTGTTGGCACGACAGTCGGAATGCTGTAAAATTAATGTATTAATTCAAACATAGAATTGTTTATGATTATATAATTGATTCTTAAACTGCTTCGGCAATATAATATATTATATTTCATTTTTAAAACTGTACTACCAACTAATTATGACGTATTATGAGTTTCTACAATACAGGGCATATTGTAGAAACTATAAACTTATTCCAAAATGAATCTAGTTCAAAATAGTGTCACAAATCTCAAGTCATATGAAAAATGATAATTAAATCAGACACATAGTCAAGTCAAAATAACTTTATTCATATAGGTAAACAAGTACACTTATGAACGTCAGCAAAACAAAAATGAATTCAAAATGAATTCCGCGTCTTTATTTAATATCTCGGGCAAATACTGAGACATCGTTAGGTTTATTCCTACCAAAAGTGCATTCGCAAACTTTCTCCCACCACTCAAAATCTGGCCAACTCACTTGGCATACTTACTTATGCATCATAAATACATCTGCATGAGCGAATGCCTCGGCGTATATCCTCATAGAGGTGACGATACACTCGTTTGCCCACACGATGGTGACGGTGTCCAACAAATCATCCCTGTCAATGTTTTCAATCCCCCCGTGGGGTGTGTTCAACTGATGCCTGTTGCTGCAAACTCCTATTTTCTCTAATGTATATGCTGCTAGTCCCGCTGGAGAATCGGACAGTGCTACTCCTGAAAATATATAACTTGCATTAATAAGTAAAAGTCTGAGTCGAAGCTTAGCGTTAGGAATAAAACCTTTATATCAAAAATGTAATGAAATTTTGTACACTTATGTGTGTAATACGACTAGATATCAAGTATGTATATGTAGTATGTGTATGTGTAAGTCCATATGAAGAGAGTTCCAGATGAATGGGGCAGACACATTTCTTAGCTCGTAATATAAATCACTTTTGATCATTGTTTAATTAGAGCCTATACCATAATCAATATTATTTTATTCTTTGAATTTGATTGAAAATCAAGTGGCGTTATTATTGCTTTGTTTGTATATTAACAATGCGCATTATTATACTTTTAAAGCTTAGTTTATGCTTTAATAGTTGAAACGATAGACTTTTAAAATTCGAATTTTAAAACCACAATCAAAAAGGCTATATAAAATTAAAAATTTTAAATAACATTTTATAGAATATATATTTATATTTTTTGCTTAATAATACCGTAATATGGGAACAATATTTTTACCTCAAATTGTATTTTTATTTAGTCTTTTATTAATTATCTTCACACAAAAAAAGCTCATTTTAATTTTGTGAAATGATAATATAACAATTCTGATTGGATAAGAATATATATTTAAACTTGTATAGATACTTGATAAGAAGATAAAAAATAATTGATTCAGAGCAACACTTTAAATTGCAATTTTGACGTCAATATATCAATAACGGACCTTGAACGCACACAACAAATAAAAGCCGCTTTTTAAATTCCCTTTTTACCGTTTCAAGTAAAGAATATGAACGACTTACCAATTGTGTCTGGTTTTGTAGCTTGTAAGTGAAAGTAACCACTTTCTCGCAGGACATAATCAAACAGTTTCCTTATGGGATATATTCGATTAATGTACTTTTCATCCATTATGAGGTTTGGGAATAAAGATCCAATGATATATTTTACATTACTGATTGGTCTTGAAGAAACTGGCATATTTGTGTGAAATCTGGAAGTAATATCATATTCATTACAAAATTTCATATCAATCTACTACTTGAATTAGTTATACATAAAAATAGACTTCTACAGAATCTAAATGCATTTAATTACATAAAAAGTTCGCTTTGAGTGAATATACCTATAAAAAACCTATTTTATAGAATGTGTTTAGTAGTGTTGATATTTGGCTATTAATAATAGATAAGTCATATTCTGATAAATCCTCCTAATTCTATAAAAACAAAAATAAAATCAATTTGCTCTAAATGTGACGAAGGGCGAAATCCATTACAAATGTACAACAATGTTTAAATTACTGCTGCTTTGAATGTAAATTATTTACCCTAAAATTTCATGAGGTATGAAGGTCGTCATATGGGTCGCCACCTGAGAACCCCAATCTCCAGCTTGAATGTAATACATGTTGTGTCCTAAACGACGCATCAGATTACTCATAATTGTGCCAACTTGCAGAGGACTTAGGCCGGGCTTGCGAGTTCCCTGTAACATTTAGCTTATCGTTACTCGATAACAGCATAAATTGTGTTCTTAGCAATCGTTTGAATTCGCAATTAAAAAAACAGCTTGCCTGCGAAAAGCCAAATCCAGGAAGATCGGCGGCAATAACTTCGAATATAAACTCGTATCCATCTTTAGGTGTTGTTAACATCGGTATAACCTTATCGAATTCCTTTGAAGAACTGGGCCAACCATGCAGCATCAACAAAGGCAGTACTTTCTTACCTTTGCCCTCTGGTTTCACATGAATATAATGAATGTCAAGACCCTGAATTGTTGTTTTGTAATGTGAAAATTTATTCAGTCTTTCAGCTCTCTCCGTAAAATTGTATTTATCGGACCAATATGTAAGTAGTTCATCCAAGTATTTGGTATTCATACCGTATTGGGATTGGGCTCCGTACAGGGGTGGTGTGAAGGGACGTCTGTTTCTCAGACGACTCTTCAAATCTTCTACCATCTGGTACATAATATAATATTAGTGAAACGAACAACCAATGTAGGTTTTGGTGGTTTATTAACGCAATATTATGAATTTGGAAAGAATTTGTTAACAACTCGTTTAAAATATAACCAAAGAAAAATTTTAATCACTTCTTCGTTCAACTAAACCAGTATTCTAAAAACTAAGTACAGTCTCCTCCTACAATAAAAACTATTAAATAACATTACATATGAAAGCTATATTTGTGTTCTAGGGTCAAAAACAACGTTCATCATTAATTATGAAAACAGCACTTTTACTATCGCCGTAGTTGCAAAAAGGAAAATAGGGCTAAACAAATTCACTTACCGATTCGTTAAATACAATAACAAAGGGTCGTATAGATGCGTCTTCATCCTCGGGTTGTGGGCCATCGCCCCACCACCGGTCAAAGTCCATTGGAGGTAATGGAGATGGGCGTAGGAGATACACCTTAAATCCAATTCCTATCCCCAAAGCCACAACAGCACCATAAAATAGCGTCGATCTCAACATCTGTAAAATTAATATTTTTAAGGAAAAAGATCGCTTCAACGAGACAATTAATCTAAAGAAGCCATCTCCAAATATCAGATAAAAAGTGTGCATTTAAATAAGACATTCCCTTTATTTAAACGAAAATATGTGTCCATTAATTATACTGTGTATTATTTATAAATATATTTACGTATGATCATCAATATTTTAAAAATAATATGTAACGTAGGTTTAATGTTTATCGTCAGCTACACTTTATTTTATGCGGGGTACACGTTATGCGATTAAACATACAATACTAACTGGTGACGGGTTTTAAGGATAGAAAAAACCAAAACATGCTAGTTATGTTGCCCAATACATGTAGCGGTAAAATTACTAAAAATATATGTATTTGTTATAATGATAATTTTAACAGATAATTTTAACTAAATATATACAAACAATATAGCTATTTAATTATTTGAAGTTTATCGCTTCCGCTTTAACCGTATTTATTACTCGTAGTGTTGTTTACCCAACAACTAGTATAAGATCATTCACTGATGAATGAATTTGTACGTCAAAACGGTAATAACCGCTAGATTAAATATATTACCATAAATTAAACATTACATACATAGATGTTTTCTATGCTTACTTAAAAAAATTACTTCCCCGTTTTGATACATATACATTTCAATCTTTTATAGAAAGTATTTTCGAAGGTACATACTACCTACCTTATTTGAAATTGTACGTGTCAATCACCATAGCGGTAATATTTTATGTTCGTTTTTATAAAAAAATACGTAGGAGTTAATAATCTGTCATAGTTTTTATAATTATAATAAATGTAATTTTCTTCACAATTCACCCTTGATCGCCTGACAAAGTGTTATTAAAAGTATCACAATAATAACCAACTTGAAAACGTATTATTACAAACAGTTAAAAACCGTCTTATACATTGTGTGTAGAGATATATGTGTCTGAATTGTGCTGATTTTACCGTCCATTGAAGCTACAGTTATTTTTTAATACTATATGCGGTACTTTACGGCCGATGACCGCTTCTTTTACGCGCTAAACATTCGTTTATCTTAAATTTAGGACAAAATATTCAGATATTTGCGACACGTGAAAGTTTTTAATCGATTACTACCTACTTTTAAGAGGAAAAAAACAAAAGGGTAAAATCGTAAAATGTATTTAATTCTATAAAAAAAATATTATAATTTATAAATACCTTAACAGTTTCACCGATATATTAATTTTAAAGTAGCACAGATTGCGAAAACGTCACTATAATAATTAACAACCGGCACGTGCGTCTGCGCCGGCTCGCGACGCCGAAATTATATTATGGAGATATGCAAGCCGCGGATTGACACGAGGAGCGTCTAGTCACTAGTGTGTCTATGGGCATTTAGAATTCGGCCTCGACCTTGCAGACACCGGTATATTCTAAGATAATGATAAAATTATTATAAATGTTGCTTTTGTAAGAATACTGAATATTTCTATAACATTTATTTATATATGAAATTTAGCCTCAATTGAAAGGTGTCAATTATATAACGTAGTCTTTTACATTTATCGTGAATGCAATTGCAACGTGATTAAACAAGACAGTAAGATAAACATGGAAAATAAAAATGCTTTTAATATATCTTGTTAACTTAACGTTAATTAATAACTAAAATTAAAAAATACTTCTTACTTTTAAAAATAATTAATAGCTCGGTAAGGTCCCATAATTTTGAATATTTATTTAACGGCTAAGATATGAGGAAATCTTTCATAAACAATCCAAACAAAATTTATTACTTATTTTTAATGTCTTTTTTATGATAGTTTAAAATTTTGATTACTTTTATTATTTATTTATTTATTCAATTTTTTATCCTCACAATTTTTGCGCGTTACATTTGCGTTATTTTGCGCGTAAACGTGAGTTCACTATTTTTGAGAACACGCAACAACCTCACACACTACATACCTATGCAAAAGATTAATGCTAAAAGATAAAACATTGATAGATTGATTCAGGAACTTCGGATTCGAATGATAAATTATTTTTTTGTATTGGATAGTCCATTTGCGATATTAACTATTGCATTGTGTGAATATTAGTGAATAGTATTAATAATAGAACTTCTCGATAAGTTGACGTATGGTGGTAGTGATATATTTATTCGAATGGCATCGCGACGACCGAATAAACGCGGGTGAAATTAGTATTTAATCAAATATATATTATATCATTACTATTTGTTCATATACAAAGGACTTGTATTGATTTCAGATCCGGCCATCAATTCTTATAGGAATGGAGTTCCCAACTTCGGAAGCATTGAGCGGAAAGCTGTCAGATAGAAGCATGAATTTAATTCAAAATAGATTTATTGAGGCGACGTCTCAACTTCGGCCGGCCGAGCCTGAACCGGAGGGTGGCGTTCAAAATGAAATGCAGCGGTATATCGGGGCACAAGCAGTGTCTGACAAGGTTACATTCATTTTTTTTATAAATACTTCATAACCCACCGTTAATAATTATCATTAAGATAAAAAAAATTGTCATATCAATAAAGCAAAATGAAATTGGTTTCGAAGTTTGGCGAATATGGCGATAATTATTTCTGTAACTCCTACCTACACTAATCCCAGTCAAATCGCCTTTTGTCTTTAAAAATCATTGAAACGTTACAGTATAGTATTTACCTCGTCCTAATTGGAACGGCTAACATATAAATGTTATTTTTATTTGTTGTGTATTAGTCCGAATTCTGCTTGAATTAATATTATAGTAGTTATTCTACTTATACTCATTTCGGATTGACGGTACAGAAAGTTGATTTATTATAAAAAAATATATTATGGACAGACGCAGAAATGTATTTGTGCCTTGAAGGATTTTGGAGATATAGTCTTAATAGATAGTTTCGTTTTAGAGTACAAGAAGGATGTGGTTACACAAAAAATTGTGTTTGCACATAAAATTATTTTCATTATAGCTTGACCCATACGATTACAGTAGCTAGTGTCCATGACTTCGTTCACATGGAATTCACATCGTTGTTAATCAAATTAAACACAACAACTTATTTGTCTTACCTTGTCTTGTGTAACTTGTCTTTAAAAAAAAAAATTATGATGCGACAAATACATTATTAAATATGTTTATACTTGACATTAGCATTTTTCCTGATGTGGCTAATTTAAATTGAACGAACTGCTGATACCCAAGCGCTACATAGGGCTACACACAACATTGAGAGAGGCTACACTGAATTAACACGAGTGGAGCGGTCGGTAGTATATGAAAAAATAACAAAATAGTATATAAAAGAATAATTAAGTACTGATTGGTTACTCTGGTATATTACAGTCGGTAGCAGATTGCGTTGAAGCACTAATTGGAACCTACCTGCTCAGTGGAGGCGTTGAGGCAGCCGGCTTGTTATTGGAATGGCTTAGGATTATACCAATACAGGTAATTAATTAAATTAATAAATATTTAGTACGTTTTTTTAATTCCAAATATAATATATGAATAAACGAAATGTCAGTTTTTATTTAAATTTAACGAGTAAATTCTGTTTGTTAGTGTATATTCTATAACAACAACAATTTTCTAATTTAACTCATACTTCGCACTACCTATCAAAACGAAAGATTTAAAACTTTCCTTGTGTGGTCACTGCAAGTGTGTATATGATTATAAATGTATGTTATATTGTAGTTATTTTTTTTTGGGATTATCGCATTGGATATAATTTGTTCGATTTGTTTCCAGGACAATTTCTTAACATACCTCTCAAAGGGTGTAGATACAGTGATAAAAGAGGGAAAAGCTGCCGAAAACGATATAAATCGTTTGCTAAACTACACAAAAGCTGATATTGAAAGCATAATACAGTACAAGTTTAAGGATCCTTCGCTTTTGTTAGAGGTATGATAATTAATACTTCTAGAAGCTTCCTAAATTGTATGAGTGAATATTAGTGTAGCAGTTAAGTTTGGTGTTGGTTTTTTTGTATGGATATGTTTAAATAAAACACTTCGAAGTTTGAAGTGTGAACACGTTTGAAGTGTGCGACGATTGTTTACATTTTATTTACGCCTCTAATTATTGCCTTAATTTTTTTGTTGTGTGGAAATTTTAGATTTGCTATAAAATCAAGTGTTGAATAAATTTTAATGACATTCTACAATAAATTACTTCATAACTAGTCATTGACACGAAGGTGATAAAGTCATTCAGAAATTTGTTAGTGTAACTTTGCTAAATAAATTGTTTGTTTGTTGAGTTATTTTTGACCTACTAATTTTATGCTCTCAAACTCAAAAATGTCAAGTGCAATAGACGAAAAAATTCAACAACATCCAAGAAGTTTCTATTATACTTTTCTGCTAAAAGATGTAAAATTTCTATCTAGTCTAGTCTATGAAAAATTATATAATATAAGTACACTCAACTGAACCGATAAAAAAATATTCCTCTGTTAAAATGCTACTTTATCCCAGAGAGAATTATTTTTAACAGGCAAGAAAAGTGTACGCAACTAACCATAATGTTTTATTAATAATCCTCATGCAACAGTTGCATAAACTGCTAACAATGTATATTTTTAAGGCTTTGTCACATCCATCATACATCCGCAACCGCTACACTCGGTCATACGAGCGTCTGGAGTTTTTGGGCGACGCTATCTTGGATTTCCTCATAACCGCACACATATATGAGAACTGCGGCAACCTTAAGCCCGGAGAGCTGACAGACTTAAGATCTGCGCTCGTAAATAACGTCACGTTTGCAGCATACGTCGTTAAATTGGGTCTTCACAAGTGAGTCGTTCATTTTTATATAACGTATGCAAGCCTACACTGCTGATTTTTTTTGTAAAAGTGAAAATAAAAGACAATTTTTTGGCCTAGTTATACGTTATCGCAGTAGACCTAGTAGGTAGCTGTCCCATCCTTGAACGAAACACAGGATCTGTCACCAAAACCTTCAAATTAAAACTAATAAATAGTAATTATTTATTATTTTCCATGATTACAGCAAGTTAACACTAATTCGATAGATAGAAAACTCACGAAATTCTTAATCCTTAACTGGGATTCTTTGCGGAAAAAAAACGCTCTGTTATGTTGTGACGTCATTATAGGTTGGCAGTAATAATCGTTTTGATACATAGTATGAAAAACCATAAGTATATAATTTTGGTGAGTAAATAAATAAAATGACTTGTAGGACAAAAAATATATTTATTCGCATAAGTGCTTCGCCAGTTCTCTTTTCGCTTCATGCTTAATTGTGACTGCACCTCTAGGCCATCCACCACCAATCATAAGGTCCTTTTTCAATCTAACAACCAGTTAGAGCAATAAAATAAAATATTAACTATCATCAATATATAATATGGCAACATTTCGAAAAACTCTAATTAAAATATCTGAAAAGCGCGTGCGTTGCGTGACTGATGCTCGCGCTAGCCTTAGCGGGTGTCTGTTCCTATTGTGATTGCTTGCCGTCCACTCTTTTGTTCTCGGTGCTACCTCATTTATTGTTAGAACTATATTTAGTTATTCAATTTAGGCATGTCACCAGGTAGTTTACCTCATTGTTAAATATAGTTTGTTATTGTTAAAACCTTTCGAAACATTATAAGTAACTTTAGTTTTATCTATTTTATACGTTTTAAAAAAAGCAAAATGGCTGTAAAAACGTGTCTAGTTGAAGGTTTGTTACATTCCAGAAAATAATGTACACTGGATATGTAGCACTATAAATGTTAATGTTTATTGAAACAAAATAATGAATTTTTGAAATTGAAAATTGAATTAAAATATCAATAGTTTTTCTGTCAACTTGGCAGTTGCTCGAAACTTCGAGTTATGTAAAAATGTAATTAATTCGAGTACTTATTCGTTTTTTAATGTTAATAACAGCCAACCGAAAATATATGTTTTCTTTTTAGTTTTTTGTATATACTCGGTAATTAAAAATACCACGAAAATAATAAATTTGTAGCAGAAATAAAAAAATATTCTAAAAATTTCAGGTTCCTATGTTATGAGCTGAACCCGCCACTGGAAACAGCAATTATCAACTTTGCAGAACATCAGAAGCAAAGGAACCATGACATCTCTGAAGATGTACTCTACCTTATTGATGAAGAGGAATGCCGCATAGCTGAGTACATTGAAGTACCCAAGGTAATCACGGAACATGACAATCTAAAATATATCATGCCTTGCAATGTTTCATGATTTCAGCAATTGTAATTTTTTTAATGTTTAAAACAATAATTGCTTTAAAGATACAATTACATTACATTTAACATTATTTATATATATTTTTTTATATTAAATCAGAAATTACATAATTAAAAAACTCCATATTAACTTAATTAATAATTGCACTATAAAAAATCTTCTGGAGATCAGATCATATTTTAATGCGCTTATACAAAATGTTATTGTTTTTTATTTTATTTTTTCGACCGTAATTTAAAGACCTAATTTGTGACATTTTTTTGGCTTATTACTATTCATCCTTATAATTAATAACGAGCTGTGTGTTCTCTTAAAATAAAATAAAAGGATAAAAAAATATCAGACTTTCAGCTCAACAAATTTGCCATAATTTTTCTACTTTCCATACAGGTTCTAAGTGACATATTCGAGTCGTTAATAGGTGCGATATATCTTGATAGCCATGGCGATTTAGCCACAGTATGGCGTGTAGTATATCGCATAATGTGGAAAGAAATCGCAGAATTTTCGCAATGCGTGCCCAAACAGCCCGTTCGCGTCTTATTGGAGATGATGTACGCATGTGCTAGCTTTGGGTAAGTTTTTAATAACCAATTGTTTCGCACAAAAGTAATTATTTTTAAATCCTAACTTGCTACGGATATAATACATTTAAATTCAATAAAGTAGAGGGTAGATTCAAGAAACCATTCAGGAAAGAAGAAATATTGTGATCTTCTCAATCAAAGCAGTATGTACCTGCAATTTATTATTAAAAAAGAGTGGAGCTTAAAGTACTTAAGACATAATTAATACGTTTGAAGTGACTTAATGAAGACGAGTACAAAGTGATTGCAGAAATTGTCTTTGAACTGGTATTAATTTTTACAGATTAATGTTATTTGCAGCTTTCAATAACGACAGCGTCTTCGACGTTTTTATATACGATTTAAATATATTTTAATAGTTTAAGCTAAAGTCGGGATCCCTGTCACTATTGCAACGTGCAGATGATTTCCAGATTCAAAGACATTATACTCTAAGTATTTATACATAAAACTTAACATTATGTGAATGAAGAAATTTGAGCAATCCTGATTTATTTTGCAACATTTAGGCGATATGTGTAATATCAAATTATTGTCTGATAAGCACCCGGAACCTAGAATTATGTTAATAATACATGTTAATTAAATGTGTCATTCGCCTTAACCATACACAATATTAGCCTCGAATCTACTGTTTTATTAACTGCTTTAAGTTTTGCTTTTTCTCTCCGTCTATGCCTTTATTTCTCTTAACGAAGCTACGTTACGTCTTTCAGAGAAGCTAAGGCGACTCCGGATAATAGTATTCCCAAAGTGATGATTCCTGTTTCATACACACGCGACGGCCATAGACACATCAATTACGGCGTTGGTTCCAACAAGGCTCAAGCAAAACGCGCCGCTGCAAAACTCGCCCTCAAAGTTCTCTCGACGTAAATTTTTCTCATATTGTATTTTTTTATACTTGTAATATTATTTTTTGGTACTTTTTCGGTGATTATTTTTAGTAGAAACATTTATGAAATGTTAGTATTCTCCGGAATCAAAAATCAGAGTTCAGATCAATTGATTTTTCCACGTATGCGTAACCGCTCGCTGCAAACGGGACTTTCATTGGATATGAAATACGAGTCAATGGAAAAATCAAATGGATATAAACGGGTCGGGACTGTTGCGAAAGGTTTCAGTTCTAAGATTAATTTTGATGTATGTATGGTTTCTTTCCTATATTGTATTGTCTAGCATAAAAAATGTGATATATGAATTGGTGATTTTTAGACTTATCAAATGACTCCATGGCGAATCTTTGAATTTGGATCTCGACTTTCAAGTGGATTTGATGCCAAAATTTATTATTACTATTTATCGAAATTTTAAGTTACTTTATACATGGACTGCATTTATTTCCGAAAGCTAATGTGTATACATAAGCCACACAAATTTGTAAAATGTTTTACTCAAAATACGTCTCAAATGGTATCTAAAAAACTAGTTTTACTATTTAATACTACTTATTCTAATTTGATTATTAATAGAGTGCCTACCTATATAAGTCGTTAATTTTAATACTGTTAAGTATTGCCTTTAAAAATTCAAATTAAACACATTATTTCAAGAAGCTGACACGACGCTTCTCTTCGTTTCGTTTACTCAACTAATAATTTTTAATTGTTAATTAACTCCATAATGCTTTTTAATGCTTTATATACGAGCATCGATGCAAAACAGTTCGTCTAGTATGGAAAGTAGTGCAAAGCGTAAAATATAGAAAGTAAATATTGGTAAAATAATTAAGATCGTTTAATTAAAAGTAAACCACAATTTGAGGAACATTTTAAAGTTTATTTTAACATAACTGAAATTCTTTCATGACTTTACATAACATAAAAAAAAATAAAGAATATTCTAAAAAAACATAACGCAAAAGAATTCCTCTATCCTTGTCACTCTCGCAAAATACGAACTCTTTTGCATCCATTAACAATAATTAGACGAACTATTTTGCTTATATTTAATCTTAACTTAAAATTTAAAACAGGTTATGTATAAATGTAAAAAGCTAAAATAGTTTATTGGTTCATAATTAAAAAATGCCATAAGTAACGCGACATGCGTTATATAGTTATTTATATTTAGCTTAATATTTGATATAGATATACAAAAAATAATGAAGTTAGAAAAATCTCACAGAGAAAATTTCACACTAGATGAACTATTTTGCATCGGGGCTCGTAGATCACTCAATAACGCTTCAATTTTCATTCTCTAAAATAGCATATTATAAGACTGGATATGTTATATATACAGGATGGTCAAAAAGTCGTGGATCAAACGCAAATAGGGGATAGATGAGGTCATCAGCTGCAAAAAATTGTTCTACGGGATTAATCAATTATTTCACAATCGTTGTTTGTAATTGTTCTAGAAAGATATTAGAGCGACTCATGGTCATGTGTAATACCTTTTCAGAATCCCTATTAAATGCACCAAAACTTGTAATACAGGGTCACTTTTCGGTACAGTATTTTTTTTTCACAGGGGGGGTCCGAAGTTAACAATACTTCCCCTGTGTTAGTAAAGTTGTGTAAAAGTTATGAATAAATTTTTTTTATATCATATAACTTTAAATTATTTTCAATACACTCAATAAACAACTATAAATAGTATGTCTAACGCAAGAACTCATCAGTACCAATCTAGTGGATATTATGAAAAAAATACAGAATGTAGATTTTTTCGAATTTTAATAAGAATTAGTAAAAAAAAGTCAACTTTCTTATAAAAAACGCAAAATAAATTATAACTCTGCAGGGGTTGAGTGAGCTTAGGGACCTCCCGTAGAACATTTTTTTGCAGCTGATGACCCCATCTATCCCCTATTTGCGTTTGATCCACGTTTTTTTGGCCAGCCTGTATATATATTTATTTAGAGGAATGCAAAGTACGGACGAAAGTTTAAGTGCTATAAAAATTAAATTTAAATACTAACATTGAAATATTAATAATTTTACAATGGATTGTCAACTGATAACCAGATGTCTCTCTTCTGACAACTTTCATAACATATGTATTTATATAAGAGTCTATATATGTTGTAGCTTGTGCATTAGAATTTTTATAACGGTTACTGTTTTCTAACCGTTTATTTTTATTTGTAGTTTAGTTTATCTCATTAGTCAAGACCACAGTTATGTTTATAGAACTTTTATATGTAGGGCAAAATATAATATTTTATTACTGCATTGTCTTTTATTACATTTCTAAACTAGTCTAGCTGTTGTAATAGTACAAAAAATTACAACAACTCACTTGAAGGAAAAAAAAACTAAGAACAAAAACACCGTGCAAAAGAGATTGCTCCTTCACTTTATAAGGGTTGGAGAAGAGTGTAGACATACAAATCGGCGGTGGGCCGGGAAGAGATGCGTAATATCTTTGTGTCGTCTTCTTGGCAGCAGGTATGCTTTTCTCTACCACTGACCCGTAAGCCTGTGCGGCAATATCGCTGATGTAATTCGTCAATGTATGGAATATTATGTTCCTTTCTTGATCAGTGTATTGTGACTGTAACAAACAAATAACCTGCTTAAACCTGAGCGGATGCCGGATGCCTGAGCTCCGCAAAGCGAGTCAAAAAGAGACTAGTGAAGTTTCTACGTCGCAAAAACATCATCAGGGCAGCCCGATTAGATCTTGCTTCGTATTCTTCTGGAAGTAGAGTCCCTTGATAAAGGGATCAAATCGATCTTCTGTAGCCCATCATTGCCACAATTACTCAGAACCGATGCCGCATTTGCTCATACAGAAAAAGATAAGGCGGATTAGTTCGCCTTCAATTCAAGAACCAACTGAATCTTTGCCACACACACTTCGGCTTATACATGTCTGATGTCAAAATATACGCAATTTAGACGTGAACAAATCCAGTGTGCCTGTGGCCTGATGCTTTACCATACCGGCATTAGAATTATAGTACGAGCATCCGGCTGCAGGATTAGTGCGCTTATCGGTTATTTGCTTAAAACCAAATTTTTATGTATATTTATAATTAGGAGAATGTATATCTACCAATTTGGCCGCTAGTATTTTTAATCATTTTATTTTGAATTGATTTTTGGGAAAACATTTCGTTCACTTGTTATTTAAATAAAATATGTCTACATCACGGCAATTTACATAAAGATTTTAAAAAATCACGGGTGCCGTAGCCCACCTGGCCGCACTTCGTAGCCAGGTGTAAACAGGTATGATTTCGATACATTTATACGTTTATAACGTATATTTATTAATTATACTTATATCAAAATGAAGCTAATTTTTTACTATTAATTATCGTATATGGGTGCCTAGTTAAATCTGGCCGGCCGCAAATAAGGGTTACCTGCTGTTAAAGATGAGTAATATTATTAGTGCATATTGCACCGGAGAATGCTCCTATGAACTACACAACCTGATTTCGTCATCCCCTTTCAAACTACCCTCGTCTAGAAGCACGCTCGAATATGCGGAATTGCTGGAAAGTGCCGAACTACACGATTGGATCTTCATTTCTGCTGAAAACAGCGAAAGACTACTTGCCCCCTTCAATCTTTCCTATAGTACTCTATAACATTGTTACGAAGATGGGTGGACTGAAATGTTTTTTTCATTTCATTTTTCCACCAGTTAGAGACGTTTCAGCAAGCTGAGAGTGATTTCTGACCGTAACAGGAGAGGGTCAATCAGATATTAGAAAATTGTAATTTGCATAATATTACTGTCGTTTTCAGGAGGCTGAAATATATTTTCAGTCAGTTTCAGAACAAGTGTAGTAGTTTTCGGGAAACCCGTTTTCAGGCGTCAGGACTGGTTATACCCCTTTTAAGGAATATTGTAGAGTGAACTTTCTAGGTGTAAGACAAGGTAGGAATGGTACGCAAGAGAGAGGGAAGAACGGAACCTTCTTGAAGCCAGACTGAACTTTCCTGAACGCCGTACAAAAACGACAGCGATGTGCGAATGAGATAAAGTAGCGAGTAGTGAAGTGATAAGTACTCTGTAAAGTGCGCGTCATTGAAATAACTAGTGACCGTATTTTGTGTGTTATAATTAGTGTATTTCTGCGCGGAATTTTCGGCTTTTTAGTGTAAACCAATTCCTCGTTGATTTATTTAAAAATAAACCCTTTAAGAGAACTACAGTGTTTTCTATCCGATCCCCTAGCTCGTAACAAAGGTTCATTCAAGCGGCGCGGCTAGATAGTAATCTGGACAGGCGTACCCTCCGATTTCCGCATCTCACTTAACCATCAGGTGGGATTGTGGCCAAAAGTCGGTCGTTTTTTTTTTAAATCAAAATGGTGGCTCCTTGGGTCTTTCACAAGTTGAATGGATGTATGCTGTGGGATTTCTTATTAAAAAAAATACAAACAAAGCATAATAAATTACTAGCGTATCAAATCGAACTGCAGATACGATAACCCTACCGAGCCTCATTACCACAGTTATTAATGTTATCTATGATACTACAAAAACAAACTCAACAAACAAAAACTAATAACGTACTTACGATTTCCGATTTTATTAGTTAACATTAAAATTTAGATTAGTTAATGAACATTTTACAAATTTGCGAATTAACATTGCATTGCATTATATCAGCAGCATCAACT